AAAAAAAAAAAAAAAGGTTAAAATGTTCTCAGTTTGGGGCTATATACCGATGACCCTAAGGCAACATGGCTGTTAGGAAGGGAAGTGTTAGTTAGACACTATACGTAGGTTAAAGGATTAAATCTCAGTAGGGCTCGGCGATGAGTCCTAAATGTCTTCATTAATTCTTGGAAGTTTTTAGGAAACAATATAGCTGTGACTGCATGCAATCATAGCCCCTCAAACACAACTAAAAGGAATAATTCAAATTTAAAATTTAACACCAGTTGCAAAAAGAAGTGATTTACATCACTAAACAACCAGCACTAAATGAAAGAGAAAATATTTATTTGTTTTTTTTTTTTTTATCATCACTAAGTCTAATTATTATTCAGACGATAATTCAAGGCTGTTATGACTAAAACTTTATCAGGATAATAAACCATAAATACTCACCCCTACATGTTAATTTTACTGTTGCTCTGATGGAATAATTAGGAAGCTATTTATCAGATATTTACTCTCCTGGTTGCAAACATTCTGGGAGGCCTCTTATTATATAATGAATATATATTCTAATAATTTTACCTTTCTTTTGGGGGTTTAGGAGAGGATAAGAATTGGGCTGGTTTGATGTTGTTGGATTATAAAATGTCAGGGAAATCTTGCATCTACATTTGCAGCATTCTGTATTGTAACTTTACAAAACTGGACTGTAAGTATGCAAAGGTTTGTATCCAAATGGGATTTTTTCCCAGTTTCTATCCAAATAATCGTTAAAGCTTGTTGTATACTACTAAGTAAGTCGTAAAAAAAAAAAAAAAGACTTAATTTTAGGGCTAAAAAATTTAATTAATCGTGATTAATCGATTATTGAAATAATCGTCATCTAACTTAGTAACCGATTGTTAACTGGAGTATAGAGACTAAAACGTGTCTTTAGTTGATAGTCTTTAGTTGACAGTTAAAACAAAAAAGTAAATATTTTGCATTGAAGATTAAAAAAACGTTTTCGTCTGTCAATATTCTCTATCCAGAACTCCTCAAGTGGAAAAGTTTAAGTTTCACCTGGTTTAATTTTGTAAAAATTTTTCTTTAAGGAATCTTTTATCAGATTATGAATCGTTTAATCAAAAATTAATCAACAGATTAATCGATTTGCCAAATAAACGTTAGTTGCAGCCCTACTTTAACTAGACGTCTTTTGATGTTGCAGCCAAGGATCACAATGAAGCAACAGAAGACTGGATCTCTGAATCATCTCTTTATTTGAACTGTACTGAATGCTAAATGTTCACCTTGTACAAGAAACAAATACAAATACTCACACTAAAAACAAAAAGAAAACATACTGCTGGCTGCCTCTTCCGCTATTGTCGGGACACTAAGGAGTTTCAGCTATTGCTCATACAGAGTACAGGACGACCCCTCCCTCCCCCAAAGAACCTGGCCTTGAATAGAACGAAGCGAAGAAACCGTAAGGAGGGAGGAGAGCGAGAGGAAGAGAGGGGATGGATCACGTCAGACTATGGTTATAGGAACATTTAACTAGGCAATACAAATCTAACAGGACTCCTCAAAACTCTTTAACACCAAAAACATATGATGCACCTTGTATAGAAAAATACCACAATGAAGAGCATGATGGAGAAGAGGACAGATTCAGACTCAACTGATTAGTCTTCTCCCCCCCAAGTGATAAATTCATGGGAAGAAAATCTGTAAAAGGTGTTTTTTTTCCTGAGTTATTAAGAACTGAAGTGTGCTTTAACCCTTTCCTGTCAGCAGATAGTATATTTGGAGCTGAAAGGAACCTGATGGATCACTGATGGTCCCGTCTTTAAAAGCCAAATCGTTGTATAAAAGCGACCTCTAGTGATGATGGTATTTCAGCTGCAATTTGGTGCCAGGAAAGGAATTAAAATCACTCTAGATTATTAGAACTGATGAGAAATCCCATGTTTTTTTTTTTCCAAGAATGATAAATAGATATATGCTGATAATAAATTCTTATTCATTCACACTAAACAATAGAAAAACAAAATTATTTTCTGAAGCCTAAATGAGAGGGATCTAAACGACACACACGTCGTACATGAAGGAGAGCTTGGAAAGGTGTTGGGAGATCAGGAGGGGGATGAATGAGGTCCAGTAGCACAGGATGGTATGTTTTCTGTTCTTCCCCTTGGTGTTTCTGAGAAGTGGGGCCTACATTTCCCATGAGCTCTGATGTGTCTAGGTTGGGCTGGACAGAGTCTCATCTGGTAATCCTGGAGCTGGACTCTGTGTCCACAATCATAAGCATGTCCCATAGTGGAGGAGAAAAACAAAACCCCAAAAAACATCGTCAAAGAGCAAATTCGGTACAGAACTCAAAGAGACAGAGTTAAAAACCGAAACTTTTAAAAAGTACAAATTCTCCGTAACACTTCCTTAGTTCCCGTTTCCAGGCTGGTTCGACAGGCAGCCGCTTTGTGGTGTTTTTCACTGTCTCTTGGTCCCCAGGTTGGTCGGTTTTGCTTTATGATCGGTTGGTTTTCTGAGCGCCGGTCCGATGAGATGTTCGTTTGCTTGGATCCCTTCTGTTGCTATTGCTCGGTGAGGTGCTCTCTAGTCTCGCCGTGTTTGGAGGGCTGGTTGGGTGACGGGGCCTGGGAAGGGTGTGTACCAGAGGGCAGAGTGTGGGCGATGGGGACCCCACCGGGCACCATGCCCTCTAACGCCCCCGGGAGACCGCCTGGAGCCACTCCGACAACACCCGGCGGGTATCTGGGGGTAGAAGATCAGGGGTTAGTCCACTGTACACCAAATATATGGAGATACTTCTGTCTCTTTCCCACCAAAGGACGAAACTTTAGAAATGTGAATTGAAGTTATTCTTAATAATACATCTTACAAATTCAATTTAGACAGGATTCAGACTTTTGGAAGTAAAATAAAGCTATTAAAATAATTTTTAGATGATTAACTGTAAAATACTTAAAAGTAATCCCAGCATTTAAGATCATTTCTTTTCTAATCTCAGTTTAAATTAGATAAGCTGCAAGTAAAATATTAAGGATAGCAGGAAAACCTGTGATAAATATTAACCTTTGCTGCGTTCATATCATTATTTAGAGTTAATTAATAGAAATGAAACAAGTTTTCTCCAATGTAAAGTACTGGAAATGCTAATGCTAACATTCAGAGCTAATTACTTTCATTATCAGTAGGGTTATAAAATTATGCAACAAAAAGGAAAAAAAAAAAAAAGTTTATTTCTAGAAAAAAATCCATGTTAAAAAGAAGCCCTCCAATTTGGAACATACCAAGGTAAAAAGTATTAACTGGCCATTTCACTTTGTAAATTTAAAAGTTGGATTAGTTTTTGTTTAAACTTAAGTGCCATAAAAAAGCTTTATCACAAAGAAAAATAAAAAACAAAAAAATAAAGCTACGTTTGTGTCATGAAGATGGACAATAAAAAACAACAATGAATGCTTCTATCTATTAATTTAAACTATATATAATGTAAAATAGAAACATTTACACCTAGCTAAATATTAGCATTTGTACTCACTGGAAATATAACCACTAGGTGGTGCTATGTGCCTTGTGATATTTCTGCATCTTTTATTAAACTCTCTGTGGGCTATTTTATCAGGATTGGCTAAATTGAAGCTTATTTGACCAAATAGCTAGTTTGCTTACTTTTTAGACTTAGACAGATTTTATTTGTCATTTTGTTTGCACAAGCGTAAAACTTGTAACTTTTACTGTGAATATTAGCGCTTCCTCATACCTGTTTGGTAAGTATTCCATATTATAAATATTTTTGTTGAAGTAATACTGAAAAGCCAAAAACTTAGCTACTGTTTGGATGACTGACCATTTTTTAAACCAGTTTTTCTTGGATTCTTGATCACATTAGATGAAAAACTAATCTTAATTGACAATCCTCTCTCTCCACTTTCCAAATGTCAAATGGCAGAAAATGTGTTTAAATGGTCTCTAGGAAGGCATTGAAATACGGACATAAACATTTCTAGTTCCTGATTTGGGAAAAAAAAGAGACATTTTCAATAAAAAAAAAAGATCACCACAAAACCCATAAACTGCAAAGAAAAGGAACAAAGCAGCAAAAGTTTCCCCAAACAAAACAAAACAAAAACCGGAAAGAGGAAATCACCAACAATCATCTGAATTGCTTCAGATCATTCTTACTAGGACACTCCAAACCCACATTCACTGCCATCCAGCTCTACTCTAAGTTCAGTCAAACAGGTGAGTTTCTTTTTCTTTCTTTTTTTTGAGGGGGTGAGGATGGTGGAAGTGGGGCTCTAGAGGTAGGGGAGGAAACACATCAGGTGAGTTTAAGACTAGAGGGTTCCATCCAGGGTGTCTCATTTACCTGCTCCTGATCTAGGCATTAATTTTGTCTTGGGGAACGCCGGTTGTTACGGCCGGGAGAGTTTGGTTCACCTGGCTGCATGAAAGAAGAAGACGGAGGTGGACATGCTGAGATCAAAAGAACCCAGAACCAGACAAACATGTAGAGAGAGGTGTTCTGGGGGTCTGTAATGCACGCTAAATAATTCAGATCGCCTGGATTTTCTCTGATATATGAACCCTAAGTATATCAAGATGTCTTACAAATTAAAATCCAAAATGTGTGACAAATATTTGGATTCAGATCTTTTCCTCTGAAACCTAATAATCAATACAACTAATTGTCCTGGTTTGCATCTTGTAGAGGAGTCAGCAAACAAATGTAAATTATTCAATTCAAGATCCTACATCGCATCCACTAGCTTTCTATCCCAACAATGAGGCACGTAGGTGGCAGCGTCATCCTGTGGGTTTGTGATTCCTCATCAGGGACAGGAAGAAGCTCAGATTATAGATGGGAGCTAAAAAAGAGGTAATCCAGGAAGAATTACCCTCACACTGTTATACAAGATTAATTATCTGGTCAATTCAGTTTATTTATATAGTGCCAATTCACAGCATATATCATCTCAAGCTACTTTAGAGTGACCAGAGCATCTTCATTTATGCTTATTGTGTCTTTTTACATTGCTTGTTGCAAACTACAAAATGGAAACACAATTGGGCTCTTTTTTTATTCTGGATTAGCATAATTAAGGGCCTTAAAAACAGGTTTTACCTTCTATTTCACATTTGAGCTACTTTGTGTTGCTTTATCAGATTAAACCACAATAAAACCAGTGAAATTTGTGGCTGTAAAGTGAACTATAAATGTTCCAGGGGTGTGAATACTTTTGAATGTCACTGTATCGTCTGTTCTACTCGACTGGAAGAAAAACAAAAAATTGTTTAACCATGGAGAAAATGATACAAAACTCAATCATCATTAACTGAACAACTGTTCATAAATGAAAGGCATATGTTGCCCTCCAGACCTTTTTGTTTCCTACCTGTAGGCAGCGCCGTTGAGCTCAGGGTGGACGCCAGGTTGCTCCATAACTCCCCAGGGGGCCGTGGTGACAAAGAACTCCTTGTTGACACAGTTTCGTAGACTGTCAGGAATTCGTCCTGCCAAAATGAAACGCCACAAATAAAGAAACTACAAACTGGTAGCAGGAGATAGGACACAATGAAACAAACGGCAGTTAGAGGAGGGATTCAGATCCCGATTTCCCATACATAACATCACCATCTGGTCTAAAGGATCTGTTAAAATCTCTGTTCAATTCTAAAAGACTGGTCTATAGAATTAGTGATTATATAAACTCTTTTAAAAACACCACACTGGCAAAGATCAAAGCAGACTGGCTGGATGAGTTGGGGGGAGGACATGGAAGACAAGGGTGTAACTTTGTGATGAAAGTTGGGGGGGACGAGTGGCGGCTGATGGACCTACAGCTACTCGACACAAACGCTTTCAATAGGATTTGTATTTTCCAAAATTGAGCTCAAACATATATTCATTGAATGCTTTCCTATTGTTGAGAACACAAAGCTATCAAAATACAAATATATTTATATTTATGGGTAGTTAGGCATTAATATATATATATATATATATATATATATATACAAAAAAAGGATGAATAACAGCCGATTCCGATGCCAACAGCAATATATCATGCCTCCCTACTATGTACACAATTTCAGTTTCATACATCCATCAATCCATCCAGAAAAATGGATTAATTGGATATTTTCTCTTTCAGCTACATCAGTGATTATCCTTCTTCAAAAGCGGCAAAATCAAATTTAGAAATTTGTCTCACTTATTGCTGAGAGCCTAAGTCTATTGAAATTGTTAGTGGGGACATGTCCCCACCAGTCCTTCAGAAAGTTACGCCTGTGATGGAAGAGGACAATTGTGAGAGCGATCTACTAAAGGTAAACAACAGCGCTTCCTGTGCCAAGCATTATTCAATTCAATATCCTACATCGCATCTACTACTCCAAAGCAAGACTGGCTAAAATATATCCTAAAACAGATGTAAGCTGCAACAGGTGTCAAAACACTCCTGTTGATTTAACACATATGTTTTGGTCATGTCCAGCCGTAGCAACCTATTGGTCTCCCATCTTTAAAACCTTGTCACAAGCACTAAATACTAATCTTCAACCCAACGTTGCTACGGCCATATTTGGTACCACAGATATTATATATGATATATATACAATTAGAGAAAATTAAATATACTCTCAGGGGGTGCAGGGAAAAATTCTTATCTGTCTGGGATCTGATGTTGATGCATGTAGATCAACTTAAAACTGTCCCAAATTAGTGATCTTTTAGCAGTCATCTTGCCTTTGTATTTGTGATTGAATCCATGTGAACCATGTCTTGTTTAGTGCATAGCTTCACAGTATTTCTTTTTTTATTGTTCTTATTTGTGTTTGTTTTACCTCTTACGGGATGGTCAATAGAAAGAAAAAGAAAAAAAAAAGGAGGGATTGAGGAATACCTGTGATGGCTCTTCGGATCTCGGTGGCAGCCGCCTCCCTCATCTCCAGGGACGACTGCTCGCTGTACCAGGCTGTGTGAGGCGTGCAGATCAGGTTTGGGGCGTCTTTCAGTGGGCCCTGTGCAAAGCTGCAACACAAAAACACATATACAGTTTTAAACTTTAAAAGATTCATTTTTGTTCATTTCTACACCTTTTTTTTTAACTGTGTTCCTAAAATCAGCATTAAGACTTTGCTTCCAGTATGTCTGCTAAGGAGCAATTCACTCACCACTTTTTTGAATTTTTAAACCTAGAATTCTTGCAATAATCTGGACTGATTTATTCCTAATATACCCTTTAATACAGTAAAAGCAAAAAAAAACAAAAAAAAAAATAGTTGTCATATTTCTGTCTTCTAAATCAAAAATTGAAAGTTTATAATTGCATATAATCATAACAAAATGTGATATATTTGAAGATTTGTGTTTTGTTTTTTTTCAAAAATAAAATTATTATATAGGAATAATGAAAATAGAAATATCTGACAATCATGTGATGAATCAGCAGATTTCTAGCAAAAAATCAAAGGGATGCTAAACTACAAAAGGAGCTAAACGTTCAATGAGAGCAGGTAGTTGAAAAATTCAGTGGAAGAAAAAAGTGGGTTTAACCCTTTATAGGGCATTCAGTGAAATACTTTGAAAATCTAAAATTTAAGCCAATAGTGTTATTACAAGACTTTATTACCTTTGTGAAATTCAAAAAATGTGGGTATTTTGCAAAAATTAAAGTCAATGTAATAACAAGAAACACCAACTTGCCCAAATATATATAAAAAAAAAAATAACAAAAGTGCTTCTATAAGAAATTCATGAAAGAATGAAAGAAATATTTTTTGGCACTTAGAGGCATTAATGCTGATACTGTCACTTACAGTTTTTAGTTTATAAACCTAAATATAATTGTTAACTAGGCTTAATAAACTTTGAACTTTACTTTTTAAATTTTCAATTAGATTTTTACATTTTTTTTATTGACTTATCTTTTTTTTCAACTTAATTTACAGTAGGTAATATATGATTCAAGGCCTCGTCTAATTGATCAAATGGCAAAATAAGATGTACAGCCATATAGCAGAATCTTTGCTGAATGGCTGGATATAGATCTTGTGCTTCTAGACCTCACTCAGGGACAGGAAAGGTATGTAAGGGGTATGCAGGTGATCAAAAACGGTAACTTGCCTTAAAAAGGGTTTAAAAAAGTTGAAACAGCAAAGATTACAGCCTTTAATGATCAGTTTTAAGTCATTGCTTCTTAATTAACGGGTTAAACGTGTTTTTCTCTCACGTGTTTCTGTGACTTACGTGAAGGGCTCAGTTTCATGGACATCCAGAGCGGCTCCCCGTATCCTGCCCTCCTTCAGCGCCTGGGCCAGAGCTTTCTCGTCCACCAGGCCCCCCCGAGCGGTGTTAACCAGGAAAGCGCCCTGACGCATCTGTCACACCGAAAGATAAAAATACAAATCTGAGGCTCTGCCGGGCACAATCTGTCATTCTGATTTACCATTTGATCTGGAGCTGACAATCAGACTACATCTGGGAAAAAAAAAAAGAGATGGAGATGAGGCAGCCCATCCGACCTTTTGGTGTAAATGTGCTTGAAAGGAGCTGTGGAGGGGGAGAGAAATCAAGTCAATATGCTCAGATGAAAGTAATCCCTTAATCTTGACAAAACCTGGAATCCAGGGGCATGAAAAGCCTTTACCCTGGCAGGCACTCCTTTTATTATTAGCTTCTGCTTGTTTTAACATAAAAAAAAGACAGAAAAATCACATTTCCATTTCAGCTTGGGAGACCTGCCAACATTTTTAGAGGCATTAGTGAGAAAAGTGTTGCCTCATTGCAGCACTTGAAGAAGCAGCTGAGACTCATGTGGCTTGTAGAAAGAAGCAGTTAAATGGTTTCGGCTGCAACTTCCCACTCCTACTTATCTCCTCATACGTTCAGAACATCTCACAGGAGACGCTTTAGAGGAGGCTGCAGTTCCACAGCCTCCATGCTGGTGTCGCTGCCTCATAGAGCAGCCTCCAGCTGTGCAGCCAGTCAATACATTTGCTATAGCTGTGGGCTGATGCTAATTGCATTTGACAGAGCAAAGGAATGAATCTGTGTCCAGCTTTGTTGGAGCTTAAGATAAAGAGCTGGAAAGGACTTTCTTCTTTCTCTATTATTTTAACCCCTCCTATAATGTTGCTCTTCTCCAAAGGTCTTCAGAACATCCTTCAGTTCAGGCAAACAGTGATTTCCAACAGCTCAGAGGATGTTTTCCCTTCACAAATGGCTGCGTTACGTTCCTATCAGGTTAATGCACTGCTTCTCGAAGTACTGAAGAAGATTAGGGCCACTGAAAAAATAAAAAAACTTTATTTTTGACTTTTTTTATATGTATAAAACCTCAAACTCAATGCTATTCCTGACATTTTGAATTAAAAAAAACTTCCTGGATGGGAAGCAAAACGTCTTTAAACTTGGAAACCAAGTCCAGTGGATTGTTTTTAATTTTTTTTCTTTTTGAAAAAAATGTTTAATAAATTTTAAATATAATTTCAGTTTAATAAGGGAAAAAAGTCAGAATTCTGACTTTTTTCACAGAATTCTGACTTTTTAAACAGAATTCTGACTTTAATCTCAGACTTGACTTCTGACTTTAAGCTCCGAATTCTGACTTTTTTCTCAAACTTTCTCAGCAGAAGGTGATTAAAACAAGAGAGCTAGTTTAGTCTCTAGACAAAGCTAAGGCTTGATGCTAACATGTTTGTTAGCTGTCAGAGCTCAGTCAGAATTCTGATAAAAAAGTCAGAATACTGAGATTACAGTCAGTATTCTGAGATTAAAGTCAGAATTCTGACTTTTTCCCATAATAAACTGACATAATATTTAAAAATCAGTTAAATTTCTTTTTTTTTCAGTGGCCCTAATCCTCTTCCATATCCAAGACTCTGATGTTCTGGTAAGATCTTTTAAATCTAGTCCCAACCATCTCCAAACTACATATGCTTAAATTGCTCCGCAAAAGGGGTTAGATTTACTTTCGGCATGAGGTGAATGGAACAGTATTTCTCCAGCGTTTGCTCCTTGTCAAATCTAAATGTTTTTAAACAAAGTAACTTTAGTTTAAAAGTAACTTTTCAAAATGATTTCGTTTAGTAGGAAAATAAATATATCTACATAATTATCAGCCCCACACTATCATGCTCCCATCACCATGTTTAATTCTAAATGTGATCATGCAGCAGTTACTATAATCCAGAATAAAAATAGAATGTGCAGAATTGAGTTTTTTCATGTCTAATAAAAGTAGAATTTTAAAATAAAAGGCACGTTTTAACTTAAATTTCTTAACTTATTTTTTGGACGTTTCAGACCAATATGACAAACAAGCTTATTTGTACATAAAAACCACTTCAATAGTTCTATTAGCAGATTGTAAACCAGCATTAGCTGTTAGTAGAGTCCTCGTTGCCATCATTGCATCCCTATATTCAGCTTGAATAAACCTATATTAGTGTTAGGAGTAGCTCTATTATAGAATAATTGTGTTAGTGACCAATTTAGTATTGAATTTAAATAATAATCTAAGTGCTTCATTATTCATGCTGTTTGCAATCTAATGCAATATCGGTCAGCTAAAGCAACTTTTCAGAAGTGCGCTCCACGCTGCAGGGAGAGACTTTTCATGACGTCCTGTCAGCGTTTTATCAACTTTACCTGTTTGATGGTGAAGTCGTTGATGAGGTGGTGGTTGTGCTCATTCAGGTTGCAGTGCAAGGAGACGCAGTCGCTCTGGTAGAGGAGGTCCTGCAGGGTGTAGACACGCTGCACGCCCAACGAGCGCTCCAGTCCATCCTGCAGGTAGGGGTCGTAGAAGATGACGTTGAAGCCGAAAACCTTGGCTCGCACCGCCACCGCCTGACCTGAACGACCTGGGGACAGAAATGATTGTTGGTTAGGTTCATGAGGACACAGAGTAAAGCATGTATGTGTGTAATTTTTAGTTACTATAGAGTATACTACTGGATATACAGTAATATCAGCCAAAGAATACAGCAGATGCAGTTTAAAACAAGGCCACATTATCGCTGCTATTAGAGATAATTAATCTGTAATAATCTGCTTTGTCCACAGAAATAAAATAGAACTACATTTAATGTTAAAATATCTAAAAAGCCTTAGCATATAGTAGCTACTGATGCAGCTAAAAGATGTAATTACAAAATGTGTGTTTTTTTTTGTTTTTTTTTACATTTCTTTTAAATCTGGATGCCTTTGACTATTTGCCTCCTAAGATCTAGTTTTCTATCTTTTTCAATATGTTAAAATGTCTGTAATGTTGAGGTTCTGAATGGATAAATGATGTAAAAAAGGCATGGGAGCAAAGAGGAATAAGCAAATCTTAAAATTAACATGAATTATGAATATTTATATTAATAGACTTTATTATGAATATTTTAAAGAGTCAGAAATGTGTCATTTTGAATGATAGTTTGACATAAATTAATACTATTTTGCTTTGGGAAATGTCCTAAATTCTTGAAGCTTAGTTTAGTTAGAGAGCTCTGTACATCCACCAATTTCTATATAGAAAGACAGGAATAAAACTTTCACAAAAATGTAAACCGATAAGAATCAAGAATGCTACCTGATTCTGAAACTGATGAAAAGACATTTAGTGTAAAAAAAACACTAATGAGAACCATCAATATTATAATTTTATTGGTCCTATTATCATTATTATACCGTAATGAGGGTTGAAGTTAAGAATTAATATTGAAGGAGCTAAATGTTTATAAGGTAAAATATGAAAGGTCTTTAGGATTTTTGTTACAAAACTAAAAGCAGTAAATATTTAAAGTTAGTTTGGTCAGGTTTTACATCAGAAGAAGATAAAACTTTTGCTTTATGTGTATTAATAGTACTATTAAATAATTTATTTCTTAATCTAAGGTTATAACATAAGTTTGCATGTTAAAACCATACATGCAATAGATTATAATAGAACTCCTTTTATTTTTGCAGCAGTTGGAATAATTGTTAGTTTTCTGTTTTAATTAAAAAACAAGTTTTTTGTTTAAGCGTTTTTGAATTAGCTGCTTTGAATCTGCTATTTTAAATAAAACATTTTTTCCATGTCTTGAAAAAATACAGACCATTGAGAAATTAGGGGAATAGTCGTGACACAGAAACCATCTGAGGGGGAGAGGTAACAGACAGTGATTCAGGGCTGCACATATTAAGCCTCTCCTCAGTCTCCCGCAGCCATGTGTTGTGTAGGAAGCAGGTCTCCACTGGAGTTGGCTGAATGAAGCGTTCCTTTCAGTGGCTGCAGAGTAAAGGAGAGCTGTCTGGTGTTGGCTGTGAAAAGGATTGCTAATGTCCTCTATGCTCTCTGGGACTTTTCTCTCTGTGATGGAGTATTGTGCTCCTCCACAGAGGAGAGGATTCAGACAATCAGAAGGAGCAGATAAACACCACCCTCTCTTTTAAATGGTTAAAGTGCTATAGCTGCAGCTAGATATTAAATATTAAATAGATTCTAACCTGGTCGCTTATGTTTTGGCTTAAGCTTCTGTTTAAGCTGGTATTTTATGAGCAGATCTGAACTCCAGTTGAGGAATCAGGCTTCCTGCACATTAGGTAACTAATTTGCAAACTTTTTAAAAAATCACAGCCAATTCTGATCCTAGCTCTTTATAAACCTGGATCAATAATTTTTTTTAAAAGCATTAAATAACTCTTTTCTGACACGGTGCCTGTGATGAAAGCTTTATAAAATACCACAGCATCAAAGCTTATTTTCCATCCTGCTTCTTCACACTTAACTGATCAATACCAATAACTGTAACAGAAGCAGAAGATCTGCCGCCCACAGCAGCTTTTCAATATCTAGCACCTCAGACTTGATTTTTCTTTGTGAAACCAACCTATTCACAGAGGAGAGCTGAAGATGAAGTAAAAAAAAAAAAATGAGACTAAAAGCGATTCCCAAACTTCACTTCATTTAAACTGTCAACACTGAAACTGATGAAGGGCTAAATACTGTATGAGGGAAAACGCAGGGGGGCAGGATGTAGTTAATGCCTATTGACTGTGTGTTAAAGTCCAGTATTATTGAAGAGAATTTGATAAAGCTTTACAGAAATAGCTGAGGTTTGCAGAGATTTATTTAATATAAAAAAAAAACATTCAAAGATGCATTTTATTACTTGTTGATGCAGAAAATTAGATTGTAGGTAGTTGGCTCTCATTCATTCAGTTGGTCAAATAACTTTATGACTGACCATTTGCTCAGTGAAATGCAGGTTGGACAAGGCAGTTAAAGGGTTAAAACAGTTAGCTGTACTATTTTATTAAATAAAAGATACAAAATAGCTGATTTTAACCAGATCTGACAGCTGAAGAAGCTTTTTTTGCAACTTGGGCTCCAGCAAATCGGCTATACACTGTAAAAACGATCTAAAAATGAGTAAAAATGTCTTAAATTAAGTGCATTTACCCTTAATTTGAGCAGGTAAATAAGACGATTTGCCAATGGAATGAGTATTTTTACTCTTAAAATAAGATAATAAATAATATACACTTGTAATAAGGCAATATAATTGTTTTTCTTATTTTAAATGTAAATTGTCTTGTTCCATTGGCAAAGTGTCTCACTTACCTCCTTAATTCAAGAAAAAAATGCACTTATTTTAAGAAAAAATCACTTACTGAGATTTGAATTCTTTGCAGTGTAGGAGGCAGTCACTTTTCAACTAATGCTGGACACAGTTTGAAAAAAACTGCCTGTGCCAGAAGGAGTCAGGGATGTGGATGGAAGCGAGGGGATTAGATAAAAACAAGAAAATAAGGGAGACAGTGTTCTCTGCCAGGGCCTGGTGCTCGGGAACAGTTAGTCTGTGCAGCTGTCTGGGACCTGCGGGTGGTGTGTGTTTATGTGTGGACACAGAGATAAGGTAGCACTCTGGAAATGCTTGTGACAACACCAAGCATTTGAGTGCCCGGTGATGTCGAGGCAGGAGACAATAGATCAGAAAAAAACACACACCATCAGCAGGGAAACAGTTTGGGAGAGTGGAACGCACGCATTCACACACACCAAGCAGAATGGAGTGCGCCATGAGGGCTGATTATGGCCAGGCGAGATGTCAGAGGAGAGCAATAATGGAAACGAAGAGTCAAAAAACTGAAAGAAGGAAATAATAATGATATAATGGTGGAGCATTAGAGCGCTGGGATGTGAGAGCGGTTAGAAGGAGGCGGCCCAGGGGAAGCCAAACAGACAACCTTGAGATAATCAGGGAGACTAGCAGAGCCGAGGAAAAAAACAACCTTATCGGAGCCGGAGAACAGAAGGCTCTTTGACTGGAATGAGGATTCAGAAACACAACGTGGACGTAGGGATACAGAGACTGGTGATCGGAGTAGAGGTCGACCGATGCAGATGCATACTATTTTAACATAGCCTAGCATATTCTAACAAAGCCCTGATTTCTTAGGTCTGATTTTTAAGCTGATATTGCTCCAGTTACAAGATAAATTTACAAACTGATAAAAAATTGTTAAAAAAAGTCTGAAAAGCAAAAAACAAACAGTTACTGAGAAATCAAACAAAATATTAATCATAGAGAGCAAATGGACCAAGCAGCACACATGTGGCTGCATTATCTCAATACATAGCTGATAAATGCATAAATAAATCTGCGAACACATGCACGTATTGGCCAGCACGGAGTGGCGGCTCAGTGGTTAGAGCATCTACTTGGAATCCTGAGATTCTGAGTTCAAACCCCACTCCCACAGACTGCCACTCTGGGTCTCTGAGCAAGAACCTTAACCCCACACTGCTCCCTGGCGCCCCACGATGGCAGCCCCCTGCTCCCCAAGGGGATGGGTTAAAATGCGGAGGTAAATTTCTCCGATGTGAGATCAATAAAGTTAAATTATAATAAAATTTTGTGTGCACCGACGCCTGAGGAGCAAACAGTATTGGTGTGAAATCCACAATGAATAGGACAGCACATAAATATCATCCAAGCCATGAGGCCATACCCTTATATTACTATATACAGGCTAACATTTATGTATTCATACATTTCACTGTGAGCTAAGAAATCAAAAACAATTAGCAAAGTTTCACAAATCAGTTTATAATTTACCTTCTGCCCATCTTTAATTATTCAATATATCTAATTTATGATACATTCATATATGACTAATTAAAGTGGTCTAGCCAAAAAGGCATTATGTCTTACTCCATTGTGTTTTCAGAGACAGAATGCATATTTTAGAAATATATAAGTTAATGTATTTACTTTGTTAAGGAAGCTTTGTATTCTCAGTGCAGAATAACCATGTTAAACTTTTATCAATCAGTTTTAGATAAAGCCGAAATGATTCATTACTATCCAGACTCCTTAAAACGGAGGGAGTTTAGCATCAGTTGAAAGTTCTGGACAAATTTTGAGACTAATGCCTGTTGCTGTACTCTTGTAGTTCTCTACACAGTATTCAAATCTTTTCTGAAATATTTCTCTTTTCTACCAAGTAATCCAAATACAGGAAGATAGTATTCAAACAAAGAGTAGTGTTGTCGGTCAACTCGGCAAGATCTTAATCAGCTCTGTCAACACAAAAATGCAAGAACTCCAGAATTACTTCTGTAAATACTTCGAAATAAAAGTAGACTTGGACTGGCGACCTGTCCAGGGCGTACCCCGCCTCTCGCCCTGCAGACAGGAGATAGGCACCAGCACCCCTCGTGACCCCGCTTGGGATAAGCGTGACAGAAAATGGATGGATGGATAGAAAAGTAGACTATTCTACAGCATACATTATATATACTTAAAATAATAGCTTATACTAACCTTATCAGGCTAATTAAAATAGTAATAAAAACTAAATATTGATATAGAAAACTGATGGAATAGATTGGGATTATGTTTCATAAAACAATATTTTTTTTTGCAGGATGTTGTACTATAAGATCCAGGAACAGAATTAAGATGCTACTTAAAACAAGTATATTTTATTGGAGGCTTTTTTTATGCATGCATTTTATTCAAGCTATGAAAGAGTGACGCTAGCAGTGTTAATCACAAACAAATGAGGCTAAAAGGAGAGATAAAATGTAAGATGCAACAAGAGTGCAGAAATTTTTGAAAATTGAAACTTTAGCCTTGTCCTTAAAAGATCAAAGATTTACTTTTCTTTCTAACTCATGTTTAATGTTCTCTCTGATCCTAATATACATCAGCAATCCATAATCTAAGCAGGAAAAGTCAAAATCTGTGTTAGTAAAGTTGAAATTAGGCACAAAATTCTCATTTTGATAGATCTACAAGGAGGGCAAAAAAGGTGAAAAAGAGATAAATAAAAAAAGGTAGGGTATTTTTCCTGTAACAAGAAATAATAAACCAGATATTCACCAAATCCGATGAGGCCGAGGGTTTCGCCACGGATGCGGGCTGCACCAGAGGCCACCTCTCGGATCTGCTCCACGCTCTGGACCCTCGTGCCCTCCCGGAGAGCCTGGTAGAGCCATGTGTTTCGCCTGTACAGGTTCAGGATGTGGCAAATGGTGGAGTCGGCCGTCTCCTCCACCGCTGCAGAGGGAATGTTGCACACAGCAATACCTGAAGGAAGAAAAATGAGGAAACAGACAGCAAAAGGTTTTAGATTCATTTAGCAAATTAATTCTTGTCACATTTTATTACTCAAAAAATGCCTAACGTACAATCTAAAATTGTTGCATCTAAAATGATCAACTAGAAATGCCACATTAATTATATATTCTATTAATTAATAGAAAGAAAAGTGAACTATTACAGTCAAATACTGACATACTACAGTAAATATCAGGACAATCTGAAGACATTGAAGTTTTAGACGCTTCCTTTTGAGTTATATTCCAGCAGAGTGTTCTCAATTTAGCTGCCTTCAGGCGATTTAAACCTCTGACCTCATGGTATTACTTTGCCTTTCCTCCAGCATAACAGCCTCTTTTTTTCTTATATTCCTTTCAAAGCACTTCTGCCTGCCCTCGCTCTCCACTAATGCCCTCATCCCACTCTGTATCTCTAAGTAACAGCACGGTGGTCTGCTAACAGCAAAAAGAAAATACCCAGAATCTGTTCAATGTTCAATCAATGGCCTCTTTTTTCTCCTCTCAGAGAACAGCCATCGTATCTGCACGCCTTCTCGAGGCATGATAGCTTTTTGACTCCTGCGTTGCAAAAGGCAGCGCGCTGTCGGAGAGTGGGTGGCAGTTAGACACAGTATCTTGTATTGGCAGGGAAATGGCAGCTTTGTCAGCTGTAAGAGCCGTTTGAGCCGCCGAGCCTGCTGATAGAAGCCTGGTTGGTTCAGAGAATAAATCAAACTCTTTTTTTCTCTTCTACTTTCGGGCTTTTTGAACCTTCTGCCGCTCAGTTCCATCTTCATGGTACATCTTACATTAAACTTTAAAATAAGAAAAAGTATTCTAAAAATCTATACCAGGAAACTGTAAACAAGTTCTTCACTGGAAGAAAATCACCACCAGGGATAGATTTTATTTCTGTCGCCATCTTCGCCCCCTCTTTGAACATTTTCACTTAATGCAAATGATTTTAATGAATCACCCCTGAATTATCCAGATAAATCCAAACAACAACTCTTTCTGATAAAATCAACTTAAACCATATATACATGTATATACATATATGTATACCTATATATGTATACATATATACATATGCACATACATATATATGTATATAAATATATATATACATACATACCGGTATGTTTATCGTTAGTTCTGGTAAACATTCCAACATAAGAATTTCGATTTGTCATCTAAATGATGAAAGAGAGTTAATGATCTTTAAAAATGTAAAAGATGTCAAAAAGAGATGTCAAAATTTACTTTTACTTTTTTATTTTACTATTGGGGGATTCCAAAATTCTAAGAATAACATTAAATGTGGTTCCTGTGGGATGTTTAGTGATACAAATCACCATTCTTTTAATCGGTATAGCTTTTAGCAGCAGTATTTGTTGAACTATGATCACTTTGGCATGCAGTCACAGCTACACTGTTAGCTGAATAATACCAAAAGTAATGAATTTTTACAATGTTTTCATGATAGTACCACAAAATATTGTGCTAAGATTTCAGCTCTATATCACCCAGCCCTAGAACCGACCCAGCTAAGTCCTATCAGAGTGTAAACTACATGCAGTTTCAACAATCTTAGGAAGATTAAGAGAACAACCAGATACTTATTTCCTAATATTCTTTGTGTAATTAACTAGTATCTCTGGTGGTAAAAAAAAACCCACAGCATGATGGAGCCACCATCCCAGTTCACAGGTACAGAGTGTGTCTAGGTATCACTGTGTCTATATAAAGTAAAAATAGTTTCATATGGTAGTAAGACTTTCTTTCCAAGGCATCATTTGACATCTGATTTTGGATTTCTGCACATTTACATCAAACATGAGGGTGTTTTGATTCTGCAGCAGAGGTCTAATTGATAATCAACACCAAGTCCATACTTTTTATTGCAAATTCTAACCTCATCGGAGACACAATGACATTTTTCCCCCCAATACATGTTATTTTTTTTAACCTTGGTAATAACTTGGGTGTTTCTGAACTTCTTGCATATCTAAATAAATTACAGCTACTTGTCAACATAATTAATAAATCTACAACTGTTAAGATATGGCTTCAAAAGACTAACATATTTAAAATTCTCTGTAGATTTTAGCTGTTTGTTAAAGTATCCTCATATCAGTATTGCTTAATCTAATCTATATTATTCAGCATTTCTAGTTTAAATCTAGCTAAGAAAAACATTTTAACAGAAAAGTAATAAAGATATTAATTGTTAGCTTTCTTTTCCCATCTGGTTAAAAGAAAAAAAAATAAATAAATCACAGAAACTTAAAAAACCTGCCTAGTTAAACCCCAAAGATGCATTAAATCTCTCCTACTTAAACAACAGTCTAATAAAAAAGGTTTTATTTATTCATATTTCGATAGACATAAAAGCAGTGTTAAACCAACGGCCAGGTAGAACATTTGACTGCATAAATCTCTATTGAACTTTGTAAACTAGCTGGCAAAAAACATGCCAGATCATATACAAATATATATAGGTTAAAAAAGATTCCCTGAAGCTTGCTTTTAAAATACCTTTAAGGTAACTTGAGAAACCACATATTCTGATAATAATAATAGTAATAATGATTTAAAATTTAAGGTGCCTTTATTTATTCTGTTGTATTCCCTTACTAAACACTAAGCAGTAGGGTATAGCCAATCACTGCAGCATTGGATTGTTGTAGAGTACATAGCTACGTAAAAAGGAATAAAAACATATTTGCTTATTCTAACAGTTACGGTAAGCTGTGATGGCCATATTCTCCTTACTATCCTGGTTCAGTATGAACACATGGATCTTTAAACCCCAAATGTAACCATTTAGTACCTAGTTCTCCCGCTGCTTTTATGTCAATGTTGTCATATCCGCTGCCAATGCGGATGATGATGCGCAGGGCTTTGAACTTCTCCAGGTCCTCTCTGGTCAAGGTGATGGTGTGGTACATCATGGCCCCCACTGCCTCATTTAAGACCTACAGCACACAGAGGGGGGAAAAACACAGATCTTTTTTAGTCTTATCACTTGCTTTGTATATATACAATTCAGTTTATTCATATAGCGCCAATTCACAACAAATGTCATCTTAAGGCACTTTACAGTTCACCAGATCATACAGTCAAATTGATTAAAAGATTTCTATCTAAGGAAAACCAGTTGTTTGCATCGACTCATTGACTTAAA